GCACTATTTTGTGAATTTCCAAGCAATCCACTATGTAAATCGTCAGATTTGAAGCGTCTTAGAATTCTTGCGGATAAGTATGATTTTCCGATTGTAATAGATGAAACAATTGGAAATTTTGTCAATGTTAAGGTTTTTGAGTGGGCAGATATTATGGTATCAAGCTTAACCAAGATTTTTAGTGGGGATAGTAATGTCATGGGAGGAGGGTAATTATAATGTTTATTTTGAAATTATCGTGGGTTTCGAAATAGTAGAAATCAAGGCAAAAAATTTTTTTTGGTGTATACTAGTATACCGGATTACCTTAGCACATCGATGGAAGATCGATACTTATACATACGTACTTATTGTTTACCAAAAACAATTACACGTCTAATTCGATATACGAGTATACACAATATACGGGTGGGTATACACCAAGAAAAATTTTTTTGCCCTGATTTCTACTATTTCGAAAACCGCAATAATTATATAATTTGTTTACATAGTTTATTTACATGATTTTTAATATTAAAAAAAAAAAAAAAAGATTGGTTCTGAATCCTCAAGGACGCTATTATGAGGAGCTGAAAGAAGTTATAAATAATGAATATGAGGACCTTTTATGGGGAGAAGATGCAATTTTCCTCGAACGTAATTCGAGAACTTTCAGAGAACGAATTATGAAAATCAATGAAAGTACAGAGGAAATATGTGAATTACTTAGAAGTAGTCCTAAAGGTTGGTGTTCATTTAAGTTTATTATTTCAAATAATATGATTATGAAATTAAATTTATATTATTCTTTTATATGCCAACATAATATTAGTCAGAAAAGTCTACTATCCAAAATATGTTACACCCGACATCTACCTTCAATATAAAACGGTTAACGGTGGATTTGGTGGATTATTCTCAATTACTTTCCATTCAGATCTTGCAGCTCAACAATTTTTTGATTCACTTGTAATTTCTAAAGGACCATCTCTTGGTACTAATTTCACTTTAGCATGCCCTTATACAATTTTGGCGCATTATCATGAATTAGATTGGGCATCACGTTATGGTGTTGAACCAGGTCTTATTCGAGTGAGCGTAGGCTTAGAAGATAAAAATGATTTGTTAAAAATGTTCCAACAAAGTCTAGATGCCATTACTGAATGATTTTTTTTTAAAAAAAATCTGACTGCATTGCTTCAAATATAAAAAAATGTTAAGTTAATGAAACGTTCGTATTATTAAATTATTTGTGTCATAACCATTAAATACTGTAGACATAAAACTAGAATTTTATCGAAAATTCGAAACAAATTTTTATCCAATAAGAATTCTGGGTTTACCGTTGGTGTCACACATTCATTTTGTAGTGAAACATAAAGGGAAAAATTGAATAATCAAGATAATAAAAAAAAAAAAGGCAAATTTTGTTTGTGAATGTCAATATAAATAAAATTGAGTCTCACTTTCTCTTGGCATCTCAATGTTTTTTTAATAATACTGTAATATATGAAACAGTTTTTTCAAAAATTATTAATTTACGTAACAGCAATAAATATAAACAACTTTTAATAATTTAGAATTTATATGTAAATTATTAAAAGTTATTTATAACGAAGTAAGTTAACTCACTTTCGCTACAAACCTGAGATGTAAATCGGATTAATTACTCGGTTATTACAATATAAAACCGATAGAGCCGTTTGCATCTTTACTGTAACGAGGGTTTATATTCAAACACAATGCAGTGCACATACCCTGATTACTCAGAGCAACTGGATGACTAGTACAGTTTTTAAAAAACAAGGCATATAAAACTTGACATTGAAACATACTGTATCATATTAAACACTAATTAAAAATCAAATTCTCATTTGAAACTTTAATAAATTCTTCTGTAAGGAGATGATTAAAAACAATGAAACTTGTCTAACAACGATATATATATATTGATTCTGATTCAGAGTTGGCAAATTTCAAAACCATTTTCTATTTTTAAAAATATCACGTAATTGGGTCATTTCGAAAGTCATTTGTCAACGTCATAAAAAGTTTCCCCCAAATAAATCAAATAAAAATAAAATAAAAAAAATAAAAAAAAACATGTAGAATAAATGAAATTTGATATAAACACTTATAACTACAAAATATGAATACTGAAACAGATCATATAATCATCCCAACTTGAATTAAGAAGCAGCAGCAGTTGTTTTTGCCCCTTGAGATTTGGCTTTTGGTTTTTTTGGAGGTTCTGTGGTGCTTGACTTAACTTTTTCACCCTTCTTCTTAGGAAGAAGTTCCGCATGAATATTTGGAAGCACACCTCCCTCGGAGATATGGACGTTTCTAAGCAAGATGTTTAGTTCTTCGTCATTTCGTATAGCCAGTTGCAAATGTCTAGGAATAATTCTTTGTTTCTTGTTATCGCGTGCAGCGTTCCCGGCAAGTTCGAGAACTTCAGCTGTCAAATATTCAATAACAGCCGCCAAATAAACTGGTGCACCTGCACCTACACGATCAGCGTAACGTCCTTTCTTGAGAAGTCGACCCATACGACCAACTGGAAATGTAAGTCCGGCTTTGAAGCTTTTGGAAGTTTTTGAGGTGCTCTTTGCTCCAACTTTAGCGACGCGTTTGGCTTTAGTCTTACCGCCAGTGTCTTCCGAACCAACTTTAGCTGGTGTTGTTTCGGAAGTTCGTACGCGGGATCTTCCAGCTGTGTCAACTTTATCTGCGGTAGACATGATAATAATAAAAGTGTTTTTAAGAATGTAAAGAGAATAAACGAAAATGATTTAATTGTCAAAAATTAAAAAAAAAAAAAATGGGGGAATGAAAATATACAAGTGTATTTATTGTTTATTCTAAATTTGCTACTTTTATATTTGTTTTGATTGTTATTCTGATAACTGTAAATAATAGTCACGCATTTGTTTATTGACGCGTATCTTGTATTACATCTAAAATTTCTTAATATGGTAATACCGGCTATAATGATAAAGTTTAACGAATCGCTATAACAGTAAAATATTTATAATTGTTGATAGTAAAATTAGTACGTATATAATTTGTTAATACTTATATATATAGTATATAGCTTTTATATATATATTATATAATTGGTTAGTTTTTTTTTTAAATAAGTATATATATATTACGTATTAGATAAATTTTTACTAATATATATTACCGAATAGTAAAAGATATCCAATGTTTGATATTTATATAATTAATTTTGATTGGTTAATTAAATACAGTATTAAAAATATACAAATAAATCTTTTTTATATGTAATTATTTTTTATATAAGCATATATATAATAATTTTGTTTATTAATAGATTAATATAATTATAATAATTGTAAAAATATATGCAGTTATATAAACAAATTTTTATAATAAAAACTTACTTATTTATAATTACTTGTACCAAATATTAAAAAAATCTACAGTACTTAAAAATTTATAAAAAAAAATAGGTTTAAAAAACTACAAGACAATACTATATTTGTTATTTAAAGATAGCTTTTTTATAAAAGCAATATCTGTTGTTTAAAAGTAGTTTTTATATACTATTTGCTAATAGATTTAAAGTTTATTACTTAAAGAGATGTTATTTATTATCTGATTTTTTTTAGCAGAAGGTGGGTGCCAAAATATTAAGCTAATAGATTATATATATATTTTTATATATAATCATAGTTATTTGAAAAAAGGTAATAATTTTACTATTTACAAAAAATCAGATAATAACACTTTCAGTAGGGCAATAAAGGGAGTTTTGGGGTCACTTTTCTACACCTTTATATGACATATTGTTAAAAATCGCTTTAATCATCATCCTGCTATATTTTATAGCACTTTTATATACTTTAGCTTGGTGTAAATTTTTATATAGCTAGA